GGTTTAGGGTTTAGGGTTTAGGGTTTAGGATTTAGCGTTTAGGGTTCACGGTTCAGGGTTTAGGGTTTAGGGTTCAGGGTACGGCTCTGGGCGCGCTAGTAATTCAGGCCGGCAGCATTTGAACCCTCCGCACATGGCCCTGAAATTGCGCACGCAGAAAGCCCCATTCTTGAGAGTTTAGGGTTTAGGGTTTAGGGTTTAGGGCTTAGGGTTGGGGACGTGGAAATGGGTGACTTCTGTGTTTCGGGTTTGCATTGTAGGGCTTAGGACGGCTCGGTTTAGGCTTCCGGGCTTCAGGGTCTACTATTTGCTTAAGAAGCCCCCAAAAAATTAAAGATAATAACCCCTAGAAAAAAATATGTTTTAATCTTTTGGGGTGGCTTTTTAAGTAAATAGTAGGGGTTTGAACTGCTGGCAGGTCGCGGAAGAGGTCGTGCAAGATGTTGCCCGTAGCAGTCTGGTCAGGGATGATGCTCAATCTAAGGTAGATTCTGCACACGCGACTTCACGAGCACCCTAAACCCTAAACCCTAAACCCTAACTGCGTGCCACTCTGAATCTCGACAGCAGCGGTTCGACGGGATAACCCGCTGATATAGCCCTCGTTGAGGGTTTAGGGCCTTTAGGGTTTAATATCCCTTACTAAACTCCAAACTTGGGATGTTCCCCCTTATACTAACAGTCCTTAACAAGGATTATAGTACCCCCTATGCAATTCCTATTAAGGACTGCTAGTATAAGGGGGAACATCCCAACCCTAAGCCTTACTAAACCCCAAACCCTGAACCCTGAATAGCCTAAACCCCTTGGCAATAATTAGGGCTTAGGGCAGGTATCACCGCAGATGAAGCCTAAATCCCCCAACGAAATCCCACCTAATCATTCGCCCTCAGTAAACCCCTGCGCGTCCATTATTGCGAGAGGAGAGGTATTACCCTTAAAAAGAACTTGAACCTAAACCTCTTCTTCAAACTCGACTATCCCAAAATCCTACACCTAAACCCCCTAAACCCCCTAAACCCCCCAAACCCAACAAACCCCCTAAACCCCCTAAACCCCCTAAACCCCCTAAACCCCCTGAACCCCCGAAACCCCCGAAACCCCCTGAACTCCTGAACACCCCAATTCCCCGAAACCCCCCTAAACCCGAAGACTCGGGAGCCTTGTGCTCCGGTGGCGCCAGGCCCATGATGCCATTGGCCTGCTGGGTGTAGAAGAGCTTGTTCCTTGAGCAGGTTTCGCGGCTTCAGGTTTGGGGTTTAGGGTTTTGGGTTTGGGGATTGGGGTTTGGGGTTTCGGCTCAGGTTGTTTGTCGCTCCCGAAGAGGTTTAGGTCTGGGGTTTTGCGTTTAGGGCTTAGAGCTTGAGGTCTGGAGCCGTGTCCAGGGCTTAGGGGTGTTTTGTGTTTTCTGGGACGCGAGGGGCTCTCAGCTTGAGCCACCTCATTTTGGTCTCGACCATAAGGAATATGCCTTACCCTCTGTGTGGGGGTTCTTCTCCCAATAACACCACTCGTTGTGTGAACTAAACATTCTTGGGGCGTCGTTGGGGCTTAGGGTTTAGGGCGGGATGTAACTAAGACACCACAGTATGGATGAGATAGCTAGACAAACTGATATGTACATATATATATAGATATTACACATGTTGATTTCCTGATCACGGCAGGTTAGAATCGGGGGCATTTGAGGTCTCCGGCCGGCCTTGGGCTGAAGCTTTGGGGTGTCTTTTTGGGTTTGAGGTTTGGGGTCTAGGGCGGTTTTTTGGCCGCCCACCTGGGCACGCACAGGGGGGCCTAGGGTTCCGGCTTCCTGAACCCCAGAAACCTTACACCAGCCCAGCCTTTAGCCTTTGAAGTTCGAAACCCCCACTAACTACCCCCTTAACCCGCCCCCCCCCTGCCCCCTCAGTCTTCCCAATGCAGCCTAAACCCCCAAAATGTTCCGGGTTTCGGGTTTCGGCTATAGGCCATAAGCCCCAAGCCCCAAGCCCTAAACCCTAAACCCGAAACCCTTACCCTAAACCCTAAACCCTAAACCCTGAACCCTGAATCCTTTTCTTCCAGACTAGTGAGCGGGGGGAGGGGTTCGGGCTTAGGGAGTCTCGGGCTGCCACAGTGACGAATGCTGCAAACCTAAAGGTTCAGGGCTATTTCGGCTTAGGGTTTAGGGTTTAGGGTTTAGGGTTTGGGGTTTAGGGTTTAGGGTTTAGGGTTTAGGGCTTAAGGTTTAGGATTTAGGGCTTAAGATCCTGTTAAGCCCAAGTAGGGACAGTCAAAGCAAAATCCCGTGGCCCTTCGGGTTTAGATAACGTGGGGAGCCCCCGTTACCTCACCTCAAGAAACCAGCATTTGGGATTTTCATTCAGGGCTTATACGCACGCACCTGTTGTCTAAGCCCATCTTTAAGCAATCCGCCTGAAAGTTAGCACTGTACACTGTGAAAGCAATCCGCGCAAGCGAAGCTCTAAGCCCCAAGCCCTCAATCCTGAAACCTAAACCCTACACGCTACTCCACTTCAAAAGCCCTTCCTCACTTCCCAAGCCCATAGGGACTATAACCCTGAGAGCCTTACTTAGGTTTCCGAAACCCTAAACCCTAAACCCTAAACCCTAAACCCTAAACCCTAAACCGCTTATTGGGGCATCTAAACCCCATACTCCCGGTACCTCCCAAAGAGGCCCGCTCATGAAATGGAATACTCAGGGTTAGGGTTTAGGGTTTAGGGTTTCGGGTTTAGGGTTTCGGTTTTGGGGTTTAGGGTTTGGGGTTTGGGGTTTAGGGTTTAGGGGTTTAGGGTCTTAACGGCCTGTCGTTTGAGGATTTGTGCCAAGGAGCTCTGAGTTGTGGCAGCCCATCCGAGCTTTCACCGCCGGGTTTTCTTGGAACACGTCCCCGAGCTTCACCTTAGCTAGCATTTGCTTCAAGAGCACCCCCCCCCCCTCCATTGTTCTTCCCTTTAAGGGACAGATTCTTCCTTTTAAGGGAACATCGGGAATTTTGTCTATCTTTATTCATGTTTTTTTTTTTTCAAGACGTGCCGGGAGTGCACAGTTTTCCGCAGGGAACACAATATAAAGGGTTTGTTTGGTCTTTTGGGGCGTCAGTTTCTTGTGGGCTTCGAGTGCTGTAAGCCCCCAAACCCCAAACCCTACACCCCAAATCCTAAACCCCAAACCCCAAACCCTAAACCCCAAACCCTAAACCCTAAACCCCAAACCCCGAACCCTAAACCCCAAACCCTAAACCCTACACGAATGTGTCTAGGCTTGGGAAGTCACCAGCGTTGGGTCTTAGCTGGAGACGCTTCGCCGTATGACGGCTACGAGGTGGCAAGGGCTTCAGGGTTTAGGGGTTGAGGGGGTTTAGGGTTTAGGGTTACCCTAACCCTAAACCCTCAGTTCCCTAGACTGTGTCTTGGACAAGGCACGTAGTCCTCGAACCAGTGGCCGGAGATCGAACTCCTTGGATTTTTGGGCGCTCGCTTGGGGTTTTAGGGTTGTTGGCTTTAGGGCTTTAGGGTTTCAGGGTTGTTGGCTTTAGGGTTTTTAGGGTTTTAGGGTTGCTGGGTTTTAGGGTTTGGGGTTTTGGGCCTTTGGGGCTTTAGGGTTTTAGGGTTTTCGAGCTTTAGGGTTGTTGGCAAGTTGTTGGGTTTAGGGTGTTTAGGCTTCAGGGTGTAAAGTTTAGGGGAAGCATTGGGAGTTTGGGCTCCAATCCCCAAAACAAGACACGGAAGAAAAATAGTAGACTGGATGGTTACCGCAGGCTTTTTGTCTGGGGGGGGGGGGGGGGGGTGGCAGCACTGTGCCGCCCCTCGATCTCAACATGTTTGAGAAGTTCTACTTCTCTTGGTCCCTTATTATTCAGACCACCCACGACACAACTAAAGGACATCCAAAAACGAATTGGGGATCTACTATTTGCTTAAGAACACCCCCCCCCCCAAAAAAAAAAATGAATAATAAATAAGTAAAACACAATAAATAAAAAAATGGATACATAAATAAATGAAAGATTATCATCCCTGTATTACCCTTGCAAGGAAGGCTGTTTCTGCCTCTTGTTTGTGTGGTTCTTAAGCAAATCGTAGGGATTCGGTCATCTAGCAGGCCAAGGCCGCGTGGCCTTTCGGGTCTGGCCCTAAACCCTAAACCCTAAACCCTAAACCCTAAACCCTAAACCCTAATGTTCATGGGCATCTCGCTTGGACCCCTCAGGCTGTACGATTGGGTTTGGGGACGTTTAGGGTCTAGGGTTCAGGGTTGACTACTGTGTAGGGTTTAGGGTTTAGGGTTTAGGGTTTAGGGTTTAGGGTTTAGGGTTTAGGGTCTAGAGTTCTTGCAGACATGGTGCCCTTCGGAGTACTTTTCGGTGTATTGGCACCTCCGTGTGCTCTGCATGGCCGGGGCACTCTGGTGCGGGGCTTTGGGTTTAGGGCTGCATACCATAGGGTTTAGGGTTGAGGGTTTAGGGCTTAAGGAACTGGATGAACTAGGGAATTCGTGTCAGAGGTGCCTCTGTGGTCCCTTTGAGGCACCGGAAAATCCCTTCATACGAGTCCGGCACTCCTCCCAAATTTCTTGGCCGGATCTTCCCCTTTGGGACCGGGGGTTCCTTCAAAGTCACATAGATCTGATTAGAGGGGTTTAGGGTTTAGGGTTTAGGGTTTGGGTTTAGGGTTTAGGGTTTAGGGTTTAGGGTTTAGGGTTGAGGGTTGAGGGTTGAGGGTTGAGGGTTTAGGGTTTAGGGTTTAGGGTTTAGGGTTTAGGGTTTAGGGTTTAGGGTTTAGGGTTTAGGGTTTAGGGTTTAGGGTTTAGGGTTTAGGGTTTAGGGTTTAGGGTTTAGGGTGGATTTGAGCGGTCTCCAAGTCCTAAATTTACTTCAAAGCTTCCAAGGTAGTTCCTTTTGGGGTTAGGGAATGGGAGATTCTGGTATACTCCCCCAAAAAGGTATTACATAGGAGCCTTTGGGTAAGCTGAAACTTACCCTGAACACTAAACCCTAAACCCTAAACCCTAAACCCTAAACCACGGAAGAAAAGCTGCATCCCTGAAAACCGCCGCTCGGAGTCTTGCGGGCCGCAGTTCCCAGATCCGAGGCCCCCCTTGCTTGGAGGTTCATGGTTTAGGGTTTAGGGTTTAGGGTTAGTAACCGACTATAACTGTCCTGATAACCCACTTATCAGCCCCTGAAGTACCCTTACAGGGTTCGAGGTACAGTTATAAGTACGGTTACAAGGGGGTGAATAAGTACCATGAACCTCCAAGTAGTTGAAGAAGTTCGGGCCTCGGGTCCCTTTCTATGTTGTGGGGGAGGGCGGGGGGGGGGAGGGAACACAACATTCCCTAAGTTCCTTGGTACAACCCTAAACCCTAAACCCTAAGCCCTAAGCCCTAAACCCTAAACCCTAAACCCTACATAAGTCAGATTTAGGGCACCTTAAGGCTTGTAGTTTTGTAGCTCCTGTTTAGGGTTTAGGGTTTAGGGTTTAGGGGCTTACGGGCTTGGGGTTAAGGGCTTTGAGTTTAGGGTTTTGGAGGCTTAGGTTAGGTGCCGCGAAAGTAATTAAGCAACTCGGATGCTGCCTCCCCCCAGTCATCTTGGAAAACAACTTCTGAGTTCCTCCTCTGAAACTATTTGAACCTTGTCCCGCTCCCTCTTTTGGCAGCCCCGTAACCATCTTGTGGTAAGGGTACCCCTTTTTGCGCTTTGTCGTTTTTTTTTTTCTCCCGGGTACCTGAAGCCCAACAAAAAAGGTAAAGGGCACGACAACTGGGCTACCAAGCCCCTTTGGCGTGCTTGTTGCGTCTGGGGCGGCTGCGGACTGCTTGGTGCTGGAAGACGGAGCGACTTTCGGCTTATACTTGTGGCATTCACAAACATGGATGTTCGTCTCCAGGCCAGTCTATCCAGTACGAGCACGAACCGCCACTGCTGTGTAGTTTCTGGGCAGCTTCCGTATGTTTCTCTATGCTGGATTTGGTGCTCAAGATATCTGTATGTTTCTTGTGCTTCTTTCGCAAGCAACAGGGGCACAAAACACAGAGGAAGCTACACCACAAAAGCACCATCAATTGCCCAAGTGCTATGTCTGATCGTGATGTGCAGTTTAGCAGAACCCCTCAAAAAAAACAAGGTACTATTCCCTATAAAACGCTGATAAGGAAGAACATGGTTGTGGGGGTTCTTAAGCAAAAGTAGTAGCTTGGGGTTTAGTTTACTTCGAGTGCTTTGGCCCGGTACTATAGGGGCCTTAATGATTAGAATAGGGTTTTGGGGGTTGTTGTAGTATTACTATATAACGAGACTATAAGGGCATATTACTAATAATTTTTCCGACCCCTAGATAACGCGATCCGCCCTCCCCGCTCCTAGGACGAAGTTCCCCGGGCCCTCCACTGCGCCTGTTCTCAAAGCAGTGCTCACAGTGCAGCTCCGCTTTACCTCGCAGGCAATGTCGAGCATTCTCCAGTTCACCGCTATCTTTGGGTTACGTGTAGCAAGGTCCTGCGCAAGAGTAAACAGGTTGCCCTCTCTGTGTCTCTCCCTGTCTCCTCGTATGCTTCTGCTGCCCTTCCCTCTCTCTCTCTCTCTCTCCACGTCCGCGTACACAACCAAGAAGTTGTAATGCGTTTGCGGACCACCAAAACAGAGATATTCATATATTCATATATCTATATAAAATATAAATAAACAAATATATAAATAAATAAATATATATATATATATACATATGTCTATATAGATACATATATATATATATGTGTGTGTGTGAGACTGTGTAGATGTGTGTATTTACATAAAGACACGTACACACATATGTACAGGGCTAGCGATGCAGCGCAGCGGCAGGGCGTCCATTCCGCTGTCTTGGACTGGCTCATGTAAAAGCCTGGCTCCTGCCAGGTTTAGGGTTTATAGGGTTTATAGGGTTTATAGGGTTTATAGGGTTTATAGGGTTTATAGGGTTTATAGGGTTTATAGGGTTTATAGGGTTTATAGGGTTTATAGGGTTTATAGGGTTTTGGGGCATGTTCCCCTCTATACTAACAGTCCTGAATAGGGATTATACTCTAGTCCGAATTAAGGTCTGTTAGCATAAGGGGGAACATCCCAGATTCAGGCTTCGTGTGTCGCGGCCCTAAGGTTTGGGGCTTAGGGTTTACAGGCTTCATCTACCATTTGCTTAGGAGCCCCCCAAAAAGCTAAACATATGGTTCTTCCTGATAAGCGTGAGGAAGGTATTTCAATCGTTCGTTTTTTGTTTTTTTTTTTTTTGGGGGGGGGGGGGGGGGGGGGTTCTGGGCAAATAGTCGTTCATGTCTCGGGGCCGAAGGCTGAGGGTTAATTCTTGCTTTTCAGGTTTAGGGTTTAGGGTTTAGGGTTTAGGGTTTAGGGTTTAGGGTTTAGGGTTTAGGGTTTAGGGTTTAGGGTTTAGGGCCTGGGCGTTAACGACCTCTAAAGACCTTCATTCTTCAAGCCGAAGCCAACAGGCAGGATCGATCGTGCTCCAGTGCAATGCTGGCTTTGATCGCTCAAGCCTCCTGAAAGATATCATGCCTTGAAAGACTGAAGCTTTTCTGGCTGGGGGGGAGGGAGGCGGGAGGGGCACAAAGCTTAAGTGAGCATCAGAGTTGGTTAAAGGTTACCTACTCAACACCTATGGTTTAGAGCTTTAAACCCCACCCCAAACCCTAAACCCTAAACCCTCAGCCAAGGAGCCAGGTGTCTCCCACAGTGGTCGCAGCCGCCGCCTGACGTACGAAGTGCGAAGACTTGCGTTTTTCCACCAAGGCATGTTGAGAGGGTTCGACTAAAGGGTTTGGGGTAGTTTAGGGTTTAATCTAAGGGTCCTGAATGTGGTACCTTACCTCCTTTAGAGGGTTCTGAAGTAAGGGCCCTTGGAGGGTGGGGTGCGCCTATGCTGGCCCATATAAGGGGTAGAGAAGGGGTCCCCTTTCTAAGGGCCCATAAGGGACCATATAACTACCCTTAGAAGGTTCCTTGGATCTTGGACCTAGGAAGTGTAGAATTGTGTGTAGGGTTTTAAAGCTTAGGGCTCGCGGTTTAGGGTGTGGGTTTCGGGTCCCGAGCTTATACAGTTCAGGGTATAACAGGGTCCTTCAGGGAGGGGGGTTCATGGGTAGGTACCTCGGGAACCTTCGAGAAGTTCAGGGAGCCTTTTGGGAACAATGGGGGCATTCGGGAACCTTGGAACCTTGGGTTACGTTGCCCTTGTACCCCCCGCCCGTAAGAACCCGATAAACGTAAAACTGCGAGACCTGAGACTGTGTTGGAGCCCGGGCGCAGGGGAAGCCAAGCAGGTGGCTACCCGTGTCGATGATGACAGAGGTAAGCCTCAAGAAAGTGCAGGCTTAAGACCGTAGACCTCTGAAACCTTAATATTAGACCCTTCCCTACCCCCTACTATTCAGGGCTTTCTGCCGGCACTTTCTGCAGCCGCAGACTTCACACAATATTCAAGGTTTTTGGGGTTTAGGGAAGGGGAGGGGATTGAACCTCTGAACCCCTTCCCTTGCATTCCGGACTCATAGTGTTGCCAGGCAGATTCATTTTCTGAGCTCACTTGGAAATCACGAAAGATGCGTAAGCAAGGGGGCATGCATGAATGTATCACTCAAACATATCCGGGCAATTTCCCGCCAAACATCCCGAGCCAATCCAAAGTTCACAAAGCCAAGCCCCTAAACAAAAAAGCCTTGGCTGTCGTGCTGTTTCGCCTCAAAACCTTAAGAAGTCCCTAAACCCTACACCCTTTTAAACCCTAAGACATAAACCCTAAATAAACCCCAAGCCCTCGTAAATCTCAAGCCTTGGCTTGTGGGTTACTTTCGGGCGTGAAGCTGTGGGTCGCTTGCTTGCTTTCCAGCCGCCTAGCCGACACTCAGAATGCAGGGTGGGGCGTTTAAACCTGGGACCCTCTTTACCTACATTTTCATGGGTTCTCCTCTACTAGTTAAGGGTGGTTACTACTAAACTGTAGGTAAATGGGGGCCCCAGGTAGGGTTTGAGGCTCAAGTGTTTGGGATTTCGCTGTGCCGGGTTTCAGGGGCTTAGAGTTTTTTGCTGCCACCTGCCCAGCTGAGTGGGTTTAGACGTTTAGGGTTTCTGCTGCAGAGGATACATCGGTTGGGAAGTCTATTTTGGGCACGCGTCTCAACTTTCAGAGCAGAAGGCCTTGTACAAGCGTAAGCCCAGAGGCCTTTACCATTTGCTTAAGAACCACCCAAAAAAACACAGAATGTTCTTCTGTATCAGGGTCATATAGGGCTGAGTATCCTTTATTTCTTGGGGGTTCTTATGCAAAGAGCAGTTTAAAACCCTAAACTCTTTTTGAAGCTGGAGTTGCTGACTGCCAAACCCTAAACCCTAAACCCTAAACCCTAAACCCTAGAGACTTACTTCGCGGGTCGTGTCCAAGCGGCTGCGCTTTGGGTGTCCCCACCTGGAGGTCTGTGAAGTAGTAGGCATACCTCGGACAGCCAGTCAGGGAACGGGAGGTTACCTGGAATCCCAAAGTATGTAAAAAAAAGCAAAGCCTCAAACCTTAAACCCTAAACCCTAGCCCCCCTAAAAAAGTGGCATTATGTTGTAAAATTTGGGAGGTTTGGCAGGGTTTAGGGGAGGCAGTGCTGCTGGGAATCTCATGAACTGTACTTAGAACCCACTCAAAAGCCCCTTAAAGTGCCCTAAAATGCCTCTAAGTACAGTTATAATTGGTTACTGACCCTAAACCCTAAACCCTAACCCAAAACCTTAACCCCGAACCCCTAAAACCTGAACCCCAACATAAGTACCATGAACCTCCAAGTAGAGGCGCGCAAGAGAAGGCGCCAAGACACCTTCGACAAATGCGATCCATCCAATAGAAAACCATGAGGGTTTAGGGTTTAGGGTTGAGGGTTTACTTGAAGGTTCATGGTACTTGCTAACCAATGATAACTGTACTGATAACCCTACTTATCATACCCCCAAGGGTTAAAAATAGAACCTAACTCTCATCCTTTAGGTCTTAGATTCTTGCGGTTACCCCCCCTTGGCCAAGACAGAAAAGATTTCGAACCATGTCCCATTGCTCCGTTGAACTGACAGCCATCCTACTTCGCCAGGAAGTGCTGCAGACTTGCTGGCGCGGAGATTTCTCTGATCTGGCCTCTGAGAAACCATATTCTACTATTTGCTTCAGAACCCCCCAAAGAATACAAAGAATACAAGAGAATAATCCCTATACGGTCCTTATAAGGAAGTGTGTGTGTGTGTGTGGATTCTTGTGGGGTTCTTAAAGCAAATAGAAGTCTTGCATGGAAACCCCTACAGGCATCAGGAGGGAATTTCTGAAGTATGTCTACGAAGAAAGCAACTCCTGCAAAAGACGTTCAAACATGTGGCGACTGACCCGCCCAGTGAAAGAAAGCCTACACCCTACGCCCTGAACCCTGCCTAAACCCCTAAGCAGAGAGCAATGGGACGGACCAACATTTTGGAGCGTGCACCCCCCCCCCCCCCCCCCCCCCCCCCGCCGAAATTTTGCGTTGAGGACTTTATGCCTCTGCGCAGCTGCAGCGTTGTTGAAACTACCTAGACCCAGGAGAAAGCTGGGAATTAAATCGGTACCCTTTTTGGTTTGGGCCTACTCTGGGTCCTAGACTACTTGGTGAAAAGTGACATCGAAGTCCACATAAAGTTCTCTTTGCAAATGCCCGGGTTCTACCCCCCCCGACTAACCGCCAAGCTGACCCGCCCTAAAGCCCGAAAGCCTAAACCCTAAGCCCTAAAACCCTGAACCCGAAACCCTAAACCCCAAAACCTAAGCCCCAAGACCCCCGAAACCCTAAACTAACTCCCTGAACCCCAAACCCTTAAACCCTAAAACCCTAAACCCTAAACCTTAAACCCTAAACCCGGCAGGCCGCGCGTTGAGGTTGCCGTAGAGCCTCGCGCGTTCCACACCAGGTGCCTCGTCCGCGCCTCTGTCGGGACAAGGGTCGCTTGGGCCCTTTGCAGGGAGTCGATATCGGGCTTTGCTATGAGGAGTTTAGGGTTTAGGGTTTAGGGTTTAGGGTTTAGGGTTTAGGGTTTAGGAGTTGAGGACGTTATGAGGAGTTTGGGGCTTTAGGGCTTAGGGGTATCAAGGTTTGTTGTTCAGGGCTTTCAAGTAGTTTTAGGGATTCAGGAGCTTTGGGCTTGTGGGATTTGTCAGGAGGTTTAGGGTTTAGGGTTTAGGGTTTAGGGTTTAGGGTGGTAGGGTTGAGGGGCCAGGGGGGTCAGGCTCTTGGGTCATGAGCAGCTGGCGGCCTTGAGGGCCATGACCGCGAAATCTTGCTCTAGGTGTTTGTTTAGGGTTTAGGGTTTAGGGTTTAGGGTTTAGGGTTTAGGGTTTAGGGTTTAGGGTTTAGGGTTTAGGGTTTAGGGTTTAGGGTTTAGGGTTTAGGGTTTACACTGTGGGGAGGGCTTAAGGTTTGCAGGGTTGAGGGTGTTAGGGGGCCCTCGACTACCATGCCCTTTACCACTTCGCCCCCCCCCCCCCCCCCCCAAAGCAAAACTCGTCAGTTCAAACGCATTTGCTGGGTACCGGATCTTTGCTCAAACCCTCTGGCGCTAAATCCTGGTGACTGAGCCCTCAAGCCCCATAAGCGTTCTACAACACCCGAAAAACTGGGATGTTCCCCCTTATGCTAACAATCCTTAGTTGGGATTTATAGTACCCGCTATTGTAGTCCCGATTAAGGACTGTTAGTATAAGCGGGAACATCCCAACTCTAAACCATATTGGGTTTGGGGGTTTGGGTTTGGGGGGGGGTTCGGGGGCCGTTGCTGCCTCTGACCCCTGGGGGTTGATCTAAGGGAGGGGGCCGCCCGCCTGCACCGGCTGCCGCATTAAGCAGCCAAAGCAGCAGCCAACAAAAAACAGAAGCCATGGCCATAGCTATGCCCTCAGCCTCAAAAACGAATCCAACAACTAAACGTGCGATGGCTACCATTTCAGGTAGGCTTAAAGTAGAGATGTCTGCGGCCTACAAAAAGAAGCTCAGAAGAATGCAGGAGCAGAGGGCTGACATGGATGAAGCCATACTGTTGCGACACAGGCCCCAACAAACTCGAACTGCATTTTTATAGTTGCCTGGTCGCTTGGGCCGCTGTAGGAAGATGCATCTCAAACCGAATCAACCACGGGCGACCCATGACTGAAGGCCCTTCCCCTGCCGAGCACGGCCCTGGCATGCAAAGTAGCAGATTTGTTTCGAAGAATTCCCCACAGCAGCCCTCAACCCGAAACCCTATAAACCCCCCCCCCCCCCCCTATCATTGCTTCCCACTTATGTTTCTGTGGTCTGCCCCCACTTCAAACCTGGCTTCAACAAGCAGCAAGCCAGAAGCGGCTGGTGGCTTCGGGCTTCGGAGAAACGGAAGCTGATTGCCAGGGATGCGGGCTTTGACATGTTTTGACTGCTTGTCATCCGTGACGATAGCTAACCCTAAACCCTAAACCCAAGATGGTCTACACGCCGCTCTCAGGGACTCCGGTGTACTGCGCCCCTCTGCAGTACCTCAGCGGATCAAGGAGACGGGCCTACATTATCATTATGCTACTAATGAGTCGATAGCAACCCTAAACCCTAAACCCTAAACCCTAGACCCTAAAGCTTAAACCCTAAACCCTAAACCCTAAACCCTAAACCCTAAACCTTAAACCCTAAAACGAACCGAAGGGGTGCAGACTTCGATGCCTCGGTCGCTTCTTACAGTTTACAGAGGAACTCAAGGTGGGTTTAGGGTTTAGGGTTCAGGGTTCAGGGTTCAGGGTTAACCTTCGGGATTCTTCTACGAGCGGTCAAGAAGGTTTACAGCAAACTCCAGAAAGTTCCATCTTTTTGGAGTTTACTGTCTGGCTACCTACTCCACACCATGCAGAGACATGTCGACGCTCGCAGTCGCCAAAAGGGGGGTGCGGGGGGGGGGGGAGGGAGGCTCGAGGCTTGAGCGGGTTCAGTCAGCCCTAAACCCTAAACCCTAAACCCTAAACCCTAAACCCTAAACCCTAAACCCTAAACCCTAAACCCTAGGCTTCGGACTTAGGGCAACAAAAGCGGCCACTACTTGCCGGCAACTGCTGCAAACCCTGATGCCAGCGAGACAGGAAGTTAGGCTCGTCTAAACCCTAGGCCCTGTAGGGGGGCCCATGTTGGGCTGTTCCCCCTTTTGCTAACAGTCCTTAATAGGGAATATAATAGGGGGTAAGGACAATCCCTATTACGGAGTGTTAGTAGAAGGGTGAACCACATCCCAAGGCCTATGCTATCGTGTTTTTTGTTTTGTTAAGCTTTACGTTTTGCAAGTCTCCGGCTTCGTTGCCGATGCTTCTCCGGCGTTGCCATTGGGGGGGGGGGGGGGGGGCTCTGGGTTTGCATGTAGCATTGCGTTTCTCGAGTGCGAGTGTGCATATGTGTGTGCAGGGTATTGCGAGAGAGGTAGCTCGGCCGAAAGTCAATATCATGTTACCCATAGTGGTATCATATAACTCTAGCTTTCCTTAAGGATCGAGGTATCCCAGATTCCTGAAAAAAACAACAGCGTCTCCTGTACCCGGGACCTCAAAAGCCAGTCGGCCGGCGGGGGCGGCAAGCTTTTCTGTACGCAGCGCGCTAAATCAGGCAGCCCAGCACACCAAGAAAGCCCTCACCAAGGCTGCAAAGGGAGCCATGGCGATGGAGTATCGACGGATGGTGTTGTGATCGAAGCTTCTGGGCTTTTGCTCCACAATGTGCTGCACGGCGAGCTGACTCTCGAAGCTTACTTGGCGGGGCTCGAGGGCGATCAGCTTTGACACCACATCCTTCCCGCCCAGAAACTGTTTCATCGATGCCCAGGAGATGTCTCTACAACCAACCAGGCCTTGGTAGCCCAGTAACCGTACTCTAATATGGGCACCCTTTTCGGAGGGTTGGCTACTGCATAAGGGGAACCTTGAACCAAAGAAATGAAAAAGGGTACCACTGGGCCACCAAGAGTCTTAACACTGCAGACAGCACGTCACGCAGGGGCTCAGGTGGCATTCTCAATGCCTTGACTTCTTGCAAGTAATCGCTCCTTACCTGGGAAACGGCCGTGCGAGCCTCTTGCAAACCGTTGGCAGCTTCTTCGGGCAAAGTTCGGCGAATCACTTCCAGAGAGGCGTCCTCGCGAAGGACATCCGTGGACGCCAGAGGAGAGCCCTGGAGCATCAAGACGGGGCGAGCGTCATCGTAAAGCATGGCGGCCAACTGACTTTGCAGAACTCCCACAGGGCATGGCCCTTCCTGCTGTAGCTCAGCAAGGAGATCACCATTCAAAGCGCTTCGGCACTCCACATGGAATGGTAGATTCTCGGAATCCAAGTTCGGTCGAGTTGCAGGCGTCCCCGGGCCCACAGGTACATCCGCAGCACTCATGACAAGAAATCCTGATGGTCCCTGGCAACCTTTAAGCCTTTGCTGGTTCAGCAGTACTTTATGGGCAACATAATTGGGGGTTTCCGGGTACGTTATTTTGGTCCTTTATAAGGGGATCCTAGTACTTGGCGTCCATATTGAGGGTACCCTGCCCTATTCTCGTGAACACCCATCTCCTGTATAGCTCCTACAGTAGCTGCAGCCCTGGCACAGTGGAGTTGGTATTGGGGATTTAGCTCCAAGCGCTAAGCCCTAAACCTAAACCCTTTTGAAACCGGACCTGATGACTTTGTAGACCCTTTGTCCCAGAGACTTCGTCCGCCCCGAAAACCCTAAACCCTAAACCCTTACCCTGGCTGGGGGCACATGTGGCAGCTTTCCCTCGAGCTCCAAGGGCAGATGGCTTTGCAACGGCCGCTCAAAGGATAGGGCTCGGGTTTAGGGCTTAGGGTTTAGGGCTTAAGGTTTAGGGTTAGGGTTTAGGGTTTAGGGCTAGGGCTTAGGGTTCAGGGTTTAGGGTTTAGGGCTTCCACGCCCACTTGTTGGTGGAGCTCCTGTCCAAGTATACGATGTCTTGGGAACGGAGGGCCCGGAAGTCATGAGCATTTGGGGCTTGGGTTCTACCCTAAACCCTAAACCCTAAACCCGAAACCTCTACGGTTCCAAGTATGGGCCCGTGATTTGGTGTCCCTTGTCATACAACCTGTACATACACTGTACAGACTAAGGGCCCTATAGACTTCGGATCCATAAGACCCTAAGCCTTAAACCCTAAACCCTAAACCCTAAACCCTAAACCCTCAAGGGCAAGGGACCATACTGATCGCTCAGTTCCAAACTCGGATGGGGTGGCATGGGCAGGTGCGTACGCAGACTGAGGCTGCCCTCAGAAAGCTTTTGGGCTTTAGGGGTATAGGGTTTTGGTGAGGAGCCCATAGAGGGTAATTATAATTCCTATTGAGGAGTGTTAGGCCTATACCATCATCCTCTAGAAGCGTTACGTTTTGCAAGTCTCCCCGGCTTCATTGCCGGTGCTTCTCAAAGATTGCTATGGGTGGGGGGGGAGGGGGTTGCATGTGCCATTGCATTTCGGGTGCGTGTGTACATATGTGTGTGTGTGTGCAGGGTCTTGCGAGAGAGGTAGAAAGGCCGAAAGTCAATAATCATGTTACCCATAGTGGCATTATATTACTATAGCTTACCTTAAGGATTGAGATATCCCAGATTCCTGAGAAAACGACAAAACAGCGTCTCCTGTACTCGGGACCTCGAAAGCCGGTCGGCGGGAAGCTTTTCTGTACACAGTGTGCTAAATCAGGCAGCCCAGCACACCAAGAAAGCCCTCACCAAGGCTGCAAAGGAAGCCATAGCGGTGGAGCATCGACGGATGACGTCGTGATCGAAGCTCTTGGCCTTTTGCTCCACAATGCGCTGCACGGCGAGCTGGCTCTCGAAGCTTACTTGGCGGGGCTCGAGGGCGATCAGCATTAACACCACGTCCCTGCGGCCCAGAAACTTTCTCATCGATGCCCAGGAGATGTCTCTACAACCAACCAGGCCTTGGTAGCCCAGTAACCGTACTCTAATATGGGCACCCTTTTCGGAGGGTTGGCTACTGCATAAGGGGAACCTTGAACCGAAAACAGGGAAAGGGGTACCACTGGGCGACCACGAAGCTTAACACTGCAGACAGCACGTCATGCAGAGGCTCAGGTGGCATTCTCAATGCCTTGATGTCTTGCAGGTGATCGCTCCTTACGTGGGAAACGGCCGCGCGAGCCTCTTGCAAACAGTTGGCAGCTTCTTCGGGCAAAGTTCGGCGAATCACTTCCAGAGAGGCGTCCTCGCGAAGGACATCCGTGGACGCCAGAGGAGAGCCCTGGAGCATCAAGACGGGGCGAGCGTCATCGTAGAACAGGGCGGCCAACTGACTTTGCAGAACTCCCACAGGGCATGGCCCCTCCTGCCGTAGCTCAGCAAGGAGATCACCGTTCAAAGCGCTCCGGCACTCCACATGGAATGGTAGATTCTCGACCTCCAAGTTCGGTCGAGTTGCAGGCGTCCCCGGGCGCACAGGTGCATCCGCAGCACTCATGACAAGAAATCCTGATGGTCCCCGGTAACCTTTGCTTGTTCAGCAGTACCTTATAGGGAACATATGGGGGTTTCCGCCATTAGGGGTACCAGGGTACCTTATTTTGGGTCCTTACTATAAGGGGATCCTACTTGCTATTTGGGGGTCTACAATAAGGGTCCCCCATTTTCGTAAACCCCCATATCCTGTGTAGCTCCTAGCGCTCCAAACCCTAAACCCTAAACCCTTTCGAAACCGGACTTGATGACTGCGTAAACGCGCGCCGAAAACCCTAAACCCTAGACCCCAAACCCTAAAACCTGAACCCTAAACGCTAAACCCTAAATCCTGGCTGGGGACACATGTGGCAGCTGTCCCTCGAGCTCCAAGGGCAGATGGCTTTGCAACGGCGGCTTATAGGTTTAGGGTTTAGGGTTTAGGGCTTCCGCGCCCACTTGTTGGCCGACCTCTTCCTGTTCAAGTATACGATGTTTTGGGAGCGGAGGGCCCGGAAGTGTTGAGCATGTGGGCTTGGGTTCTAAAGTTCCAAGTATGGGCCCTTAATTTGGGGTCCCTTGTTGTATATTTATAACCCTTACATACACTATACATTATGATTATAAGGGCCCATACTTCGGACCCACATAAACAAGGGTAAGGGACCATACTAGGGGCCCACAGTTCCAACCTTTGACCAGATTTTGGTGAGCCCAACCCCTAAACCCTAAACCCTAAACGCCCCCTCCTGTAAGGGCCTAGCTAGGTATATGTTAACCACCACCGCTCAAAGTTTGGGACTAGCCTGCCATTTGCATGGATCAGGATTTGGGGTTCAAGGCTTCTGCTGCGTGATCTGAGGGCCGAGCGATAGGGTTTAGTCTTTTTGCGGGTGGCCGGGCAGGGTTTGGGAACCCTAAACCCTAAACCCTAAACCCCAAACCCTAAACCCTAAACCCTGAACCCCAAACCCTAACAATAATAAATAGACCCTACTGGGGCTTAGGGTTTGCTCTCGTCCAAGCCGCTCAGGGCAGCCTCTGCGGGCCGCAGGCAGCGATGGCGGCACCAAAGCTGGCCGTGCTCCTGGGCCCAGCACTTCCCTAAACCCTAAACCCTAAACCCCAAACCCTAAACCCCAAACCCTAAACCCCAAACACTAACCCTAAACCCCAAACCCTAGACCCTAAACCCTAAGCACTTGGGGTTGAGAGCTGTCCCTGCATGATCGTGTGCAGCTTAAGGTGTGCTTGGGGTTTGCCTCTTAAGCCCTCTCTCTCAAGCCCTAGGCCCAAAGTTTGCACTCTTGGTTTACGCCGTGTCTTCAAGAACCTTCGCCCTCTTCCGGGCCCTAGATGCGGAAGCCCATTCCCCTAAACCCTAAACCCTAAACCCTAAATCCTAAACCCTAAACCCTAAACCCCAGAACCCCGAAGAGTCCAAGGGGGATATATTGAGAGCGTGCTTTGCATCTCAACAGGTGGTCCCGAAGGGAATGCAGGCTGAAGACCATGAGGTCTGCGGAAGCTGGGCCTTGGGGCTTCTCCGCCTCCGCCTCCCTCTCTTCTCCTCCTCCGCGGACAAGGGATCAAGGATTAAGGGATCAAGGGTTGAGGGGTTTAGGGGTAAGGGTTTAGGAGTTTAGGGTTAAGGGACAGGGTTAAGGGTTTAGGGTTTAGGGCTAGGGGTTCAGGGGCTAAACGGGCCCAGAGGTGCAAGACCCACAAAGATGACCTCGTTCAATTCAGTGGCCGATACTTAAAGGCGCCTGAGTATGATTGCCACTCGGCCTTTTTCTTGCCACGTGCCGAGGGTGAAGCTTCTTCCTTGCACGGCATTCCATATACATGGGTTCCCCTACTACTCCCCCCTATGCTACCCTACCAGAATGAAGGCTACTTAGGAATTAAGCCTAAATAAGGTTGTTTAAGGGGGGAAACTAGGTTGGGTAGTAGGGAAACCCCTGATGTAATATGATCTATGTGGCCTCTCGGCATAGGAACTGCAGACGCCTAGACTTGTTCTTTCCGCGTTGGGAGGCCCAGCACTTGCAGCTTCAGAAGCCTTCCAGCACGCAAGCTCCGCGGAATGGAAGGGCACGTCCCCGTGTCGTCGGCCAAAGCATTCATGTATGGTCAGTTCTAGAAGTAGCCGCATTGCAGTGCGCGGATCCGGGGGGGGGGGGGGGAACCTCGACAGCAGGTCCAGAAAGGGAACCTCCTGCCAGAGCATGCCAGAGCCATCAACCTCCATGCACAGCTCTGCCCCGGAGGTCTCGGAGCTTGTCCAGGCCTTGAAGGTTCATGCCGCGCCCAGTAACGCGCTCCACGGTAGCTCCGCGGGCTTCGAAGGTCGTGGGTCATGCAGGACATGTCCAAGTTCGAAGTCACACGATCCGAGAATTGCCACGCGTGCAAGAACTCAACCTACTTGACCCTGATATCCCTGCGGCAGATGTCTGAGAGCAGCCTCACGAGGGTGGCCGCATCGTTCTCTTCGATGGCCGGCAGGGCTTTCATGATTTCTGGGGCTGCATACTTCAAGTACTCTGTGGCCACCAGGCAGTTTGCCAAGTCCTGTGGGATCATGACGTGCACCTGGGGGTCAAGAACAGGTTTAGGGGTTGGGGTTTAGGGTTTAGGGGTCAAGAACAGTGTGCAGACCTGAATTCTCGTCAGCGGGCGCGAGACCCACAACAACACGTCAAACAAGACTAAAGTTGGGATGTTCACCCTTATACTGACAGTCCTAAGTAGGCACTGCAATAGGGGGGGGGGGGGGGTACAACAAATCCTCATCAAGGACTGCTAGCATAAGGGGGCACATCCCAAATCAAGCACAGCAAAAAGGACAAAACAAGACGACCCTATTTAAACCCTAAACCCTAAACCCTAAACCCTAAGCCCTAAACCCTAAACCCTAAACCAAAAACAGAGCCCCGGCCTTTTCCGGGATCTGCTCGGCGAGGGCTGGGACGGCCTTCAGCACCAGAAGGGGAATATGGGCCTACTCTGGGTTCTAGTAGCCCTAAACCCTAAACCCTAAACCCTAAAAACCCTAAACCCTAAACCCGGGGTTCCAGGCCTTCAGCACCTCCGGAGTTGCGTACTTCAAGATCGAGGCCGCCCAGAGGCAGTTCGATAACTCCTGCGAGGAGCCAGCAAGCCACAACCCATATGGGTGCCCAGACCCCTGGGAGGATCCAAAAAGTAGATCCCCTTAAGGGTTCCTAAGAATCACCCAATAGTAGAAAAGGGTATTATTTGGGGCTTCTACTTTTTGGATCCTCCCAGGGGTCTGGGTGGTTGTCAAAATTATGGTCCCTTACTATGATACGGCACCTAATATTTAGGGTACCCTAAACGGGATCAGAACTTTGACAACCACCCATATGGGGGTTTCCGGTTTCCGAAATTTGGGGGCGGGGGGGGGGGGGGGGGTAGGGGCCTTCTAGGGGTCCTTCTTACTACTTTTTGTGGGACGAGATTAGAGGTCCCTTACTTTCGCAAACCCCCATGATATCCGTTGGAGTGTGGGTTCAAGGCACGTGTGGAATCATGTAGCTGCAGCGCGACAATGCCGAATCTGAAGAAGGAAATATGGGCGGAGGTATGTTTGCAGCTCTTTCGGGCTTGGGGCTTCGACTACAGAGATTTCCCTTAAACCTTATGACGCCTAAAATCCCTGAACCCGAAACCGCAGAGGTCCGCATACATCTGAAACGTGCCTTGCACCCAACTGGTCTGTTGCTTCGCTGATGTGTTCGTGATTCGACATGTCCCAAGGCCCTTCGGCCTCCAAGCCGGAAGCCTTGTCAACAGGGTTCTGCCCTATCGAGCTCCCGCAAAATCCTTTGGACCCCCCATTTTTCTCCCAGAGCTTCAGAAAACTTTGAACCCTATAAAACCCTAAACCCCCCCACACTCGCGCCTGTGAGTTGAACTCCTCCGCCCGGGAAGGAATTTGACGCGAGATGGCCGGCACCACCTGTGGGGTGCACGGATTAGGGTTTAGGGTTTAGGGTTTAGGGTTTAGGATTTAGGGTTTAGGGTACGTAGGGAGAGCTTGAGTTTATGGCACTGGGATTAGGGTTCAAGAAAGGTTTCGTCCCTCGGCTTAGTGGGTTAAATTCGGGTTTGGGCCATTGGGGCACAAAGTGCCGCTCAATGAAGGAACTTTTTGGTACCGGATTTCACAGTGACATCCCCTAGATTCTGTTTACTCCTTTGCCTACGGGTGTATCGTGCTTCTCGGGGTGAGAAGGCAGAAGCGCAGCGTTGGCAACATTCCGCTTCGTCTTCTATTTTCTCCCCGAGCCGCAGCTCGAGCACTGGTGGGGCTAAGATAAACCCTAAACCCTTAACCCTAAACCCGAAACCCTAAACCCTGAACCCGAAACCCTAAACCCGAAACCCTAAACCCTAAACCTATAAACCCGAAACCCGAAACCGCACCTCGAGCACCTCGGGCACAGCGGCCTGGAGATTTGCTGCCGCCCAAAGGCTGATCGATAGGTCCTGCCATGTGGCGGTTTCCGAAAATAGGGTTTAGGGTTTAGGGTTTAGGGTTTATTTAGGGTTTAGGGTTTATTTAGGGTTTAGGGTTTATTTAGGGTTTGGGTATTTTTTGGGGTTTAGGGTTTCTAGGGTTGTCCCTTTAAAGGGATTCTATTCTTTTCCAAGGCTTGGGGCTTCAGCGTTTGGGGCGGGGGGGGGGGGGGGTTTAGGCGCACTAAGGGTTTAGTATAAAAGCTTCCGAGTTATCCAACTGTGTTGCTCACACTTGGGCCATGTACACTTCGATTCGAGACAGCAAATTGGATCTTGCAGTTCAGGTTCAGCAGTGGTGCAGGACTTCGTGCTTCAGGAGTCAGGCGCTGATCGGGGTATTTGGGGCAGCAGCTCCTGGGGGTTCATCTCGCGCCCTCGCGCAGACACGGCCGCTCCCAGGGCGGGCACCGCCTCGAGCACCGCTGGCGCGGCTTCTTGGAGGTTTGCAGCTGCCCAGAGGCAGCTCGATAGCTCCTGGGCGTTGAACTCGGCGACCTTCTCTGGAATGCCTCAGCCAGTCAAGGCGAGGGAGAGAGGTTTAACGCTGGTCTGCCCCAGACAGCTCGACTTCTAAGCCCGCAAAACCCACACCCCCACCCTACTGTCATTTGGAGCAGCTATAACAGCAGATGCTCTCTTTGGCCAGCAAGGCACGCTTTGCCAGCACGTCCACAATCTGCAGCACCTCCGCTTTGTGCAAACAAGCACAGGACACCAAGAACGCTCCGCGGCAAAGCCTACAAGCAAGCAGCCATCCCTGCCAAAACTCCAATGAAACCCTGTGTTTCGTCAGGGCGAGCTGCAGCTACAGCTACAATTTTGCTTGCCGGCCGCTTTCGGATCGACATCGCCCAGAAACCCTACTCCCAAAAAAATAGCTCGCTTCGACGGGAAAAGTCCACCTTGCAATCTAATGGGCCCTCAACCATCCAACCCAAAGCCATGCAACCCATCAAGGACCCGGAGAAGCAGTAGTTGCACATCACTGAACGTTAGCAGGGTGTCGGGCTCTCTGAGCATCCACCCCAGCCCCTTAAACCCTAAACCCCACACCCTGAGCCCTAAACCCCAAACCCCTAAACCCCAAGCCCTGAACCCTAAACCCCAAACCCTGAGCCCGAAACCCTAAACCCTAAATCCTAAATCCTAAATCCTAAACCCCAAAACCACCTTCGGAGACGAGTCTTGGAGGTTGGCCGCAGCCCAGAGGCATTTCGCCAGATGCTGGGGTGTCATCCTCTCGAGAGGGGGTTTAGGGTTTAGGGTTTAGGGTTTAAGGTTTAGGGTTTAGGGTTTAGGGTTTAGGGTTTAGGGTTTAGGGTTTAGGGTTTAGGGTTTAGGGACGGGGTGTCCGAGATTAGGGGTACGTGTTGGGGCCCTTGGTATTAAGGAATCCTACTTTTTGGAGGGACTATGTTAGGGGTCTCCTATGTTCGTAAACCCCCAGAAGGCTTTCGGGAATTTGGCTTTGAAGGCCTTTCATTTGTGTTAAACTTGTGCTTTTTCGACCCAGTTGTGGCGAAATTACCCTCAGGCTTAAGCTGCGTAAACCCCACCGGGGCTCCATTTTTCTTACAGTTTAGTAGTAGCTACCCTGAACCAGTAGGTATAGCCCATAAAACCGTAGGTAAAGAGGGTCCCAGGCACACTATCCTAAACCCAAAAAACCTCCTCCCCGACACCCCGGTCCTGGGAGCTACTCGCTCCACATGCCCAGTCATGGCGGGAACTGCTTGGAGCACCTGCCAATCCCCTAGCCAGAAGTGCAAGCCCCTGCAAGGGGGTTTAGGGTTTAGGGTTTAGGGTTTAGGGTTTCGGGGTTTCGGGGTTTCGGGTTTAGGACCTAGAGATCGCTGCACCAATGGAGGGGTTTTGGGTGTCCGGACGCTTTCTATGTGTTAGAATCATGATTCAAGAGCTTCGGGTGCGGGGTTTCCCAAAAGGGCATGAGCATTTGTAGGGTGTAGGACTCATCGAATCTTAGGGTCTTAGCTCCAGGGCGCTGCACGCATGCGTGCATGCATGCGCCCTTCGAGCCATAAGGAAAGCCACGATGGCCTCTAGACGCAACACAGCCAGCAGCCAGCCCCACACAGTCTGCAGGGCTTCTGGGGGTTAGACACAGCTCGCGCAGACTCTGCCTAAGGTGTGGGGCCACGCTCCACGAGCCCCGATTGCCATCTGTCAGCGGTAGCTATCACAAACTTCCTCAGACCCTAAACTGGGCCTAAACCCTAAACACTTAAACCCTTTAAACCTTAAACCCACAAACCCTTACTTAAACCCTATAAACCTTAAATCCACAAGAACCCTTCATTAAACCCCTTATAAACCCTAAACCCTAAGCCTTCCTTTTTTCAGACCCTTGTCCGTGCCTGGGGCGCAGCGGCTCGCAGGTGCGCAGAGGCCCAGAGGCAGTTTGCCAGGTCTTGGCTGCTGAAGTTGCCCACCTGGAGACTTTTTCTGTGACTATACTCCCCTTTTAGAACCTTAAAACAAAACAATGTGTTGAATACCCCTTTGGGTTTTTATATAAACGGAAATAAAAAAAATTCCCAAGGGGGATAGAGGAGACAAGACGGTCGACGACATGCACACCTTAAGTCTTGGGAGCGCTTCCCCTAACTTTTCATGCAAACCCCACTCAGGCAAGAAGGCCTGCCTTTAGCCAACCCACCCCCCCCCCCCCCCCCCCCCCCCCCTCACCAAAAAAAAAACAAGCTTCTTATCCTGAATACACCAAAAGAACACCAGCCCGGACTTTCCAGCCACTGTCTACCGGCCAGTTCTATAAGTCATGAGTCACTTTGGGGGTGGGGGGGGGGGGGGGTGGATCAGATGGCCTTTGAGCCCTTGAATTTTGATGTGCCCACGAAGGGGGGGAGGAGGCCTTGTGGACTGGAGATCTCCATGAAGCCTGGCACGCCCAAACCCTGCAGACCCCCAAAACAGATCTTTGAGGCAAAAACATGAAGTCTCTGTAGCGTTCAGGGCTTCGGGTTTAGGGAAATTCTTCGTTTGCTTGTTTTTTTTCTCCTGAGGCCCCTCAATTCAAGACCCTGATCCCTCAGCTTCTTCCCCCCTCCCCTCCTTTCAGTCAAGATTTACGAAAATAGGGACCCCAATAAGGTACCCCTAAACCCTAAACCCTAAACTCCCACAACCCCCCCCCCCCCCCCCCCCCCCCCAACATGGCCGCCTGTCCCGGAACGCCCTGCGCCAGGGCCTCCACAGCTGAAAGCACCTCTCCAGGTGCTTAAGTCATAATCCAACATACCCCAAACCCATACCCCTTAACCTATAAAAGTAGAATATAAGGAAGGATTTTACCATACCCCTTAACTTCTTTTAAGGGATATGCTCAAGGGGTATGTTGAATATCTCTTTGATTAAGGCCACAAGTGGGGATGTTCCCGTTATACTAGCAGCTCCTGAATAGGGAATATAGTACCCCCTGTTTAGGGTTTAGGGTTTGGGATGTTCCCCCTTATACTAACAGCTCCTGAATAGATTAGGGTACTAACCCTAAACCCTAAACCCTAAACCCTAAACCCACTGTTCGGTATATTGGGGAACCTCCCAAGCTCCCAGGTACCCAGCCCCAGAATTCAACCCGAAACCCTGGCGAAGACGAGACAACCAAAATTTGGGTTTAGGGTTTAGGGTTTAAGGTTTAGGGTTTAGGGGGCTCAATCCTCCCGACAGTCGCAGTTCTGGCATCAACAGCCGCCAGCCCAGAACAAACAGTAAAAAAGAAAAACAACTTAAAACAGCCGAAGCCGCGGCCGAAACGCCCGTAGTCAAGAAACCACACCGAACTTCGGAAGTATTCGGTTTGCACCACCCCAGAAAGCCCCCTGAACCCTAAACCCCCTAAACCCTAACCCCTAACCCCTAAACCCTAAACCGTAGCCACGCCTGGGGTGCGGGGCCACGGAGCCGCGCGGCTGCCCAGAGGCAGCTGGCCAGGCTTTGGGGAGTCATCTGCCCCACCTCTCCAGGGTTTAGGGGAGTTTAGGGTTTAGGGAGTTTAGGGAGTTCAGGATTTAGGGTTTGTAGAGTTTAGGGAGTTTAGGGTTTAGGGAATTTAGGGTCTAGGGAGAACAGGGTTTAGGGAGTTTAGGGAGTTTAGGAAGTAGTTTAATTAGGGTTTAGGGAATTTAGGGTTTAGGGTTTAGGGAGTTCATAAAGGGTTTAGGGATTGTAGGGTTTAGGGTTTCAGGGAGTTTATAGGGTTTAGGGCACTTCAGGGTTTAGTGTTGAAGGCTATCTGAAGGAGGGCTTGAACTGTTCAGGCTTTCTCGGGTGTAGGGCTGCAGGATCCTGAGACCTTAGCCCTACCTTACCGAACAGCCCATCAGGAGGTGTTTTTGTTGGGCAACTTGGCTTTTTGACATCTTGTGGTAGGGTTTATAGACATAGAGGGTTTATGCAGCCTTTAGTGGTTTAAGAATACATATATATATATATATATATGTATGATATGCATTTGTGTCTACTGCGGGCTGATAGGAAGACTTGAAGTACCTGATGAACCACGAGGACCATCATCTGCTCCTATTGTCAATGTCTTTATCATGACTTTTGGTGCACCACCTTCAGATGAATCAAACCCAGCTGTGCCACTGATTGGTCCACCTGAGTCGGGCTAACAATTGCAGTTTCCTGAAGTGCGACACAAAGACGTCTCGTGTCTAAACGAAAAACCAAACACACAACAAACAAAAGTGTAGTTTGCTTAAGTTAAGTATTCAGACAATACTAGAACGATGGTGTTGGGGAATTAAACCCTAAACCCTAAACCCCAAAACCCTAAAACCCTAAACCCTAAAACCCTAAACCCTAAAACCCTAAACCCTAAACCCTAAACCCTAAAACCCTAGAACCCTAAACCCTAAAACCCTAAAACCCTAAACCCTAAACCCGAAAAAAGAATGCCCTGTGGCCTTGTGAGGAATCTCCGCTGCCAGCATGCCCACAGTGTCCAGCACCTCCCCAAGCAACTTCGCAAGGCAACTTCAAGAGGGTTTAGGGTTTAGGGTTTAGGGTTTAGGTTTTCAGGGGTATAGGGGTACATAGGGTCTATAAGGCTGGAACGCCACAATCCAGAGCTCCTACAACTGAAACATCCCTGCCCTCAACCAAGCTTCCAGAAACTGCGAGGCTGTGAGACCCCTGAACCCTAAACCCTAAACCCTAAACCCTAAAACCTAAACCCTACGCCTTGCCGCCCTTCAGTCTTGAAGCTGCCATTCGAAGCCAAAAGTTGAAGTTTTAGGGTTTAGGGTTCCTATTTTCTTGAGAACCACCCCCCCCCCCCCCCCGCAAAAAAAAAAAAAAAAAGAAAAAGCTAAAAGACAAGAAGAATCGAATCTCTTTCATTGTTTCGGGGTTCTTAAGCCATTAGTAGTATCTATGTGCACTCGGTCGCAAAATACAAGGCAGCTCGTGAAGTCAAGCCTCCGAAACGAATGACTTTCTAATCAAGATCAAGTCTTTGGGTACCTTCCTTCCCCGAAATAGGATGGCGAAAATCACTGAGTCCCACACTAAGGCCAGTGTATAGACCCATACTACCTTAAACCCTCGTGGAGGTTTAGAGACCCTCCATATATCCATATATATATGTATATATATATATATGTGTGTGTGTGTGCGTGTATTTATGAAAGAAACGATTTGTTCATTTGAGCTCTGTGGTCATTCGTGGGCATTGTTCAACTAAGTCGTGGGAATTTCGTGGAGACGTTCATTTCGCTTATTAGTCCGCGTGGGCATTGTTCAACAAGTCGTGAGGATTTCGTGGAGACGTTCATTTTGCTTGTTAGTCCGCAAACACCGGACGGAAACAATGGTTTCGGACGGGCTTAGGATTTAGGACCTACTGGGAATGGCCTACTGGTCTTGGGGTTTAATTAGGGCCTATTGCACCTGGGATGTAGGGTTTGCGGCCTACTGGGCATTATTTGAAGAGGATGTAAGCAGTGTAAGCTGGCTCGAGGAATTCTGCGTTGAGTGACATAGTTTCCCAATGTTGCGGAACCCAATGGGTGGGCGCTCGTATCTACCTCGTCGCTTGACAAGCTGCTTGACAAGTGAATGCTTGGACTTGAGATGCTGAACCCTAAGCCCTAAACCCTAAACCCTAAACCCTAAACCCTAAACCCTAAAACCCTAAACCCTGGCCGCGACCATGCCTCCGGAGCCTTTTCCTGCGGCCGCGCGGCGGCCCAGAGGCAGTTCGACACGTCCTCGGAAGTTTCCAGGGTTCGCTTTGGTTGTATAGGGTTTAGGGTTTAGGGTTTAGGGTTTAGGGTTTGGGGTTTAGGGTTTAGGGTTTAGGGTTTAGGGATGTTCCCCCTTATACCAACAGTCCTGAATAGGGATTATGGTACTCCCTATGATAATCCCTATTCAGGGCTGTTAGTATCAGGGGGAACATCCCAAGTTTAGGGTTTCAACCCTCAGAAAAGCCCTGGCACATGGAAGTGCAGCCGAAAACCTAAAACAACCAACAAGGCACTAAAACTGGAAACCGTCTGGTCGTTCATCTTAGGAATGTCATTAGGGATGGCTTGGGCTAGAAAGGGGCTGGAAAAAAAGAAGAATTTTGTAGGCGTGAGTGCTCCTTTCTACCAGGGAGTTAACGTTGCTTGCAAGGGCATTCAGCAAAACAGCCACCAACTAGCAACCCAAACCTCTCTTTGATGTAACTAAAACTAAAGCAACCTACCAAAAAAACAACACGTTGTGGTTATGATTATGACTGTGCATAGTAGAAGCACCGAAGTCCACACGAAGCGCCACTCCCAAGCGGCCTGCGCGCTGAGCTCCGCGGCCTTGGCCCGAACCTGCGAGGCCAGGGCGGCCGCGGCCGGCAGCACCTTCGGCCTCAGAAAACCCACTTTCAGGGCTGGAGGCGGCTTAGGGCTTAGGGTTTAGGGTTTAGGGTTTAGGGTTTAGGGTTTAGGGTTTAGGGTTTAGGGTTGAGGGTTTAGGGTTGAGGGTTTAGGGCTTAGGGTTTAGGGGCATCTTTACCCGCTGGTTCTTAGTGGGGACTGAGGGAATAATAGGGCCCCTACCTATACCCTTTAAGGGCTTATATTTGGGGTCCCTCATTCCCTCATTCCCTACTAAGAGCCAGCCTCAACAAAGGTCCAAGAGGCAAAGCAAGAGGTGGACTTGGAGCTTGCAGGGTTTGCAGGGTTTGTGTGGGATCAGAGGGTTACGGGGGTCAATGATTGGGGCTACGGGAACCATCCAACAAGGGAGCATCAGTGAGAGAACTGCCCGCAGGGTCTAGGATGGTCGTTGAAAGCCGAGGACTGTCAGACCGGTGGCTTCAAGGACATAGATCCTGCCCTAAACCCTATAGGCCCTAGCAGCGGTTTTTTTTGCAACAGGCGTGTGTCTAGAGCTTGGGTTGCCCAAACAGGAATGGTGACCTTTGTCTGCATTTCTCCGAATAGGGATCAGGGGGTTTCGGGTTTAGGGTTTGAAAGTCCTGATTTAGGCTCAAGGGACTAAAGGAGGGACCCTTACAAGGGACACTAGGGGCTGTTTAGGGATTATTTAGAGGTTATTTAGGGCCATCAGGCTAAGTGGCGACAGTTCTGCAAGAGTGGCCACCGCCCACAAACTGCTGGACAGATCCTCGGCCACTAGAGCCACTGGCCATTGAAACGCTCCTTGTATCACGGGTCTACGGGTCTGTTGCACTCTGAACCCCCTAAACCCTAAACCCTAAACCCTAAACCCGAAACCCTAAACCCTAAACCTTCAAGTTCCTCTTGCAAGTCCTACATGGAATCCAGGCATCAGCCCGCAGATGGGTGTTGGAAGCTTCGAGACTTGAGGCTTCGGACCCAAACTCGGAAGCCAGATGCAAAAACCTGTTGGGTTTAGGGTTTAGGGTTTAGGGTTTAGGGTTTCGGGTTTCGGGTTTCGGGTTTAGGGTTTAGGATACAACGCCTATATAAATCTCACCCCGCGGTCGCCCCCCCAGGCCTAAAGACCACCCCTTTGTTGGTAGGGATGGGGGTTTTATAGGGTTTAGGACCCCAAACCCAAAACCCTAAACCCTAAACCCTAGAGTTTAGTAGTATAGGATCCAACTTGAGCCAGCGTCCTGAGCCGACATGCCCGCTGTCTGGCGTGGCAGGCGACCACACAGGGCCGAGACCTCGGCAACTGCGAGCCCCTGGAAGAAGGGTTCAGGGTTTAGGGTTCAGGGTTCAGGGTTTAGGGTTTAGGGTTTAGGGGCTCCAGCTTTCTTCCTAAACTTCTTGAATGAAGTGAGTTTTGGGGTTTGGGGTTTAGGGCACCATGACCAGGAACCATATATATATATATGTATATGTATATATATATATGAATATATATATATATATGCGTTACTGCACCTTAACAGCAACGTAGTCTACTGTTCGAGGGCCACCCTTGCCTCGCTTGCGAGAACAGAAGACGGAAGCCTACCCGGTACCTGCTCAGCATGGAGGTTTACATACTCCTTAATGAGGTCCTCTTTTTTCAGGGGATCCTACTATTGGGTCTCATTACCCTAAACCCTAAGACCTAAACCCTAAACCTAAGGGTCCCCTGTTTTCATGAACCCCCACATCGGGGTCGTCCCTAAACCCGAAACCCTAAACCCAAGTACACCGACACAGACGCACTCCAGCTTGACCGCAAGTTAGTAGGTGAGATGTGTCCTACCTTGGGGACCAAATGAACCCAAAGATTGGGGTCATAAACCCTATACTACTATAATTCCTACTGAGGTACATGAGCCCTAAACCCTAAACCCTAAACCCTCTAGTGTTTACTTGATACCAAGGGCAGACTACAGATTTCCGCAGCAGGGCAACGACGAGGCCCGTTCACTCCAGCATTTTTGCTACGCAGCAGGTCTGGCTCTCACGTTGCACAGAGAATCTGGGTTTAGGGTTTAGGGTTTACGGTTGAGGGGTTCAAGGGTTTAGGGTTGATGTTTGAGGGTTTAGGGTTTAGGGTCTAGAGTTTAGGGTTCACCTGGCCTTGTAAGCTGTAGCCGCAACCTCGAGCAGAAGACCTGTCATACCAAGCTTCTTGACCTCAATCAATCCCGTGAAGGCCGGATACGGTGGCGCAGGGAAGAACTCCTTCTTGACTTTGAAGAAGGTCGCCTCATGCTCCGCCATGTCCACGTGAAATGTCTTGACCTCCACCAAGTCACCGGGAACGGAGAATCCCGCCTCGCGGCACAGGGCGAAAACCTTCTCGAAGGCCAGCCGAAATTGCGCCTCTGGATCTACCACGACGCCGGTCTCTCCCACACCTACCTGAGGGTTTATGATATTAGGGGTACCTTATTGGGGGTCCTTACTATACTAGGACTCCTACTTGAAAGTTGGGGGTTTATATTAGCGGTCCCTCATCTTCGTACACCCCCCACCTGGCCCGCCACATACAGGAAAGGGCCACATGCCACTGCTGGCGAGTACCCCAAGCCTTCAAACTTGGCTTGCTTCCCCTCCGGGAACACTGCGCGGCCGGACTCCATCGCTACGGTATGGGAACAGCGGACCCCTCTACCGATTGAAGCGACTCAGAGACTTTTTCTAACTTGAGCTTGGAAATCATGGAGACACAGCCTACTACCACATCCTTCAAAACAAAGGCCACAACTTGAAGCCCCGAATCTGAAGCCCCAAACCTCACAACATCTCCTACTCCCCAAACCCTGAAACCAAGGGCTTCCCCTAGCTTCATTGAAGGGGGGGGGGGGACTTGTTTATGTACATGCATATACATATAAATATATAAATAAATAAATATATATATATATATGTATATGTGTGTATATTTTAATATAACATCAGATAACACGATCTAATATATACACATATGTATATGTACATACGCCTATATTTGTTGTTTATTTTTCTAGGGGGGGGGAGGTAAGGGAGTCTGTAGCTTCAACTCCAAACCAGGCCGCAGCGTGGTCCAGCTCCGGGGTCCGGAGCTTTGCCGCCGACCAGAGGCCCATGGCGAGGTCCCGGGGACCCATCTGCAGGTGCGCGCAACCCAAAACATCAAGCTTCCCTAGATTGGGTTCAGGGTTTAGGGTTTAGGGGCTTAGGGTTTAGGGCTTAGGGTTTAGGGTTTAGGATGTACGGTTTAGGGTTTAGGGAAGCTTCTTGAACCCTACACCTTCTACACTGATTTGTAAAGACTACATGTCCTAAACCTCTTGACTGATGTCTCTGCGGAAGCCTCGTGGTTTGAGGAAGCCTGCTTGTTGAAGATTTGGTGTACCTTACCTGAGAACCCCATAATGGGTTTATAATGGGTTTGAGAATCGCGGCCTACAAATCCTACAAACGTATGATTTGGGTTCCTGATACTTGGAGGTTCATGGAAACTTAGAACCCCAATTATAAGTCTATTTATACCCAATTTAGAGGACTTAGGGGCCCTTGTACAAGTACAGCTATATTTGGGGTAGCGCTTTAGGGTCGACGCCTCGTTGGCCTGGCTGGCCAGGCGTGCCGACAAGGCCGGCAAGGCTTCCAGCACGCTAGGGACGGAAGCCTTGCAGGACCTAAACACTAAACCCTAAACCCTAAACCCTAAACCCTAAACCCTAAACCTGTGCAAGTCACATACGGGGTTTTAGGGGCTTCATCAGGGTTTATGGCCCTTGGGGGGCTGCGGCTGCGTGAAGGCAGTGGGAAAAACGCATCATAGACCACATGGGAGTTTACGAAAATAGGGACCCCAAATATAGGCCCCGCAAATAGTAAGATTCCTTTATAAGGATGAGCCCGCATAAGGTACCCCCTACTACTAGGTTGCAAGGGTTCGGAAGTCCAGGACCAACACCCTCAACCCTAATGAACCTCCTTCAGATCTTCGCAATAGAAGCCCTCAACCCCAACAAAGCCTTCTTTTAAGTGAGCTTTCGCCAAAAAAAAAAATAACCCTAAACTCTCAACGCTAAACCCTGGATCCCCACATCGACACCTCTGTTTTCTAAACCCTGTCGTGTTTAGGGTTTAGGATGACAGGACTTAGGGTTAAGGTTTAGGATTACAGGGTTTAGGGTTTAGGGCTTAGGGTTGTAGGAAACGTGTAATCGTCTCTTGCAGGGCTGAGGGATTTGAAGGTCGTCGGAACCTTTGAGTCGTCTGAGCCCATTTTGGGCAGCAGGGTCTCCCAGGCTACCCAGCCGAATTTCGGGGCCTGAATAGTTAGAATAGAGTTTGGGGGGGGGGGGGGGGGGGTTCTTGTAGCATAAAGTAAATATAAGTAAATATATGAAACCCTAAACCCTAAACCCTGAACCCTGAACCCTGAACCCTGAACCCTAAATAAGGGAATATGAGGGTTTTCGAAACCAAGCCAGGCTGCCGATCCCAAGACCCCAAACCTCGATTCCCCAATGTCCTCAGAAAAAACCCGTTCCCTGCTCTTGGAGGCATGTACCGAGTGTGCTAGAACCCCCCCTCTTGTGGATGAATCAGCAGTCTTGGCTCCTTGCTGAAGATTTTAAGTTATCAGAATAAGGACGTTCTGTTCATTTCCTATATCGCCTCAGTCTGGTAAATGCACTTAAGATACTTTAAGCTCCTTAGACAAGAACCCGTACTTCCAGGAGAGAGACCAACTGCTCCCAAAACGACAGTGGCCAAGTTGAGGTGGGACCCACCGGTGGTTTCGGAGACCGAACTTTCCCTCAAACCCTAAACCCTAAACCCTAAACCCTAAACCCTAAACCCTAAACCCTAAACCCTAAACCCTAAACCCTAAGCCTTCATTTTCAAAAGTTCTCGGGGCCGGAGCTCCCCACCCGAAAAAAAAAAAACAACAAAACAAAACAGGCCTGCAGGTTGGCTATGGCCCAGAGGCTGTTCGTCAGCTCCTCTTCTACTACGGTTTAGGGTTTAGGGTTTAAGGTTTAGGCTTAAGCACCCCCCCCCCCTCAAAAAAAAAAAAACATCAAAATGATCCTCCTTGTAAGGGCAATATAGGGATCTTCGTGTATTCTTTGGGGGCGGGTTCTTAAGCAAATAGTAGTGTTTGGTGATGGGGTTGCAGGGGGCTTAGAGAGGCGTCGCTTTTTGTTCGGCTTTTGCAAGCACTCAGCTTGCAACAGCAATCTGGGTTTAGGGTGTTTAGGGTTTAGGGTTAAGGGTTCAGGGTTGTCCAAGGTTTTTTTTGGGTTTCGAGTCCTAAGGCCTTGACCCTCCTGAACCGTGGCTCTTCCTTACATTGCGCTTTCTGGGTTCCCCTGAGCTCTACAACCCTCCTGCCACTGGACGGAGGGCCAGACCTCTTACCTGGGACTCTCTTCACCTACAGTTTTATGGGTTATACCTGCTTATTAAGGGTCGTTACTACTAAACTGTAGGTACATAGAGCCCCAGGTATCAACCGCAACCCCAAACCCCAAACCCTAAACCTTAAACCCCCAAAATTCACGGGAAGGCTCAGAAAGAAGCCCCTGAAGCTGCCTCATGCTGCTACTTTTCCTACCCTGCCCTACCCTATCCTACGATGGGGGGCCTGAATAACTAGAATAGTTTTTTTTATTTTTTTTTTTGGGGGGGGGGGTGTTATTGTAGCATAGTTATAAAGGGACCATGAGGGACAACCATTAGTAATTAATCATTACGACCCCTCAAATGGATTGCCACCAGGGTCTGACATGTGCAAGAGCCTGTATAGGGTGGAATATACACACCTGCCCAAGACCAGGATCTCAGTTTCAGAGGGCCCTAAACCCTAAACCCAACTCCTGCCTGTGGATTGAACAGCGCAGCTTTGCGGACCGTCCCCTCGACGATGCTGGGCACGGCGTCAAGTACGGACAGGCTGTCCTCAGGGGAGCCACTCAGAGATCTGAACACCCTTAGGGCTTCTAAGGTTTGAGGGTTAAGGGTTTAGGGTTTAGGGCTAGGGTTTAGGGTGGCTTAGTGTGGTTTAGTTAGGAACTGGGACTTTGACTTCACCTCGGTTGCTTCCACGGTCCTCTTGCAGATTTGCCGCAGCCCACAAACAGTTGGACAAGTGCTGGGGAGCCATTCCTTGCGAGGGAATTTCAGGGGTTTAGGGTTTAGGGTTTAGGGTTTAGGGTTTAGGGTTTAGGGTCGCACATTCTGTCTTTGGCTGAGGCGCTTTGCGGTCTTCGGACTTCATAAGCAAGCCTCGCCCGGAAACCACATCAAACCGTTTTTTACCGTTGACCTGCTAAACCCTCTTGTGCATCTGGCGTCGCGGAAGCCTGCAAGGAAATCTGCGACAAGTTGGAGTGAGAGGGTTCCCCGAAACCTCAAAAAAACTTAGGACCGCAAACCCTGAAACCCTGAAACCCTGAAACCCCGAAACCCTAGGGCTTTGGGTTTGGGGTTTAGGGTCTAGAGTCCCCAGACCCCAAACCCTCAACCCTGAAGCCCCCGAAATGGTTTTCGGGGTTTAGGGGTTTAACTAGGGGGTTAGGGGTTCGGCTCAGCAGCAACAACGACGCCCTAAACCCTAAACCTTAAACCCTAAACCCTAAACCCTAAACCCCAAACCCCAAACCCTAACCCTGAAACCCTCACTAACCCCTAAACCCTAAACCCTTTTTTGCAACTGGGCTAAACCCTAAACCCTAAACCCTAGAACCTAAACCCTAAACCCTAAACCCTAAACCCTAAACCCTAAACACTAAGCCGAGACATGCCGGGATGCTTGCCGCGGTGAAGGGTATCCGCTCCGCCATGGCTGGGACGATTTGGAGCACCTCTAGGGGCCCTTCTTGGGCCTTTTTAAGCCTTAGGCTTTATAATTGTTGTATAGGCTTTCGGGTCAGGAGTTTCAGCATTATATATATATATATATAGTATTCTTATTATTTTTTATAATCATGACTATTATGATTATTATGATCAGTTTTATTACTACTACTATTCTTTGTTACTATGATTGTTATGATTTTTGTTGGGGGCGGGGTGTGGGCGATAGGGGGTGAGGGGGATGGAGGTCTCCAGGCCCCAGCCTCTGGGACAGTGTCCTTCAACTTTGCGACTGCCCAGAGACCTCGGCTGCTCCCATGAACCCCTGTTAAGTTTGATTCTTACGCAAGGAGGGTTTTTTTCAAGATGTAAAAAACCCTCTTTCTTAGAACGTCCTGTAAGATTTCGATTCTTGTGGCCCCTTAGCATCGTTGGAAACCCTACACCCTAAACCCTAAACCCTAAACCCTAAACCCTAAACCCCCTAGATGCGCTAAGAGTAGTTCTATTTAAAACCTTCGGCCCAGAGGCAGTTCGACAAGTCCTGCGGGATCATGCCTAGGAGTTGGTTAGGGTTTAGGGTTTAGGGTTTAGGGTTTAGGGTTTAGGGTTTAGGGTTTAGGGTTTAGGGTTTAGGGTTTAGGGTTTAGGGTTTAGGGTTTAGGGTTTAGGGTTTGGGGTTTAGGGTTTGGGGTTTAGGGTTTAGGGTTCAGGGTTTAGGAGGGACCCTGGGCAGGGGGGTTGAGGGTTCAGGGGACTCGAGTCAAGGAACACCTTCGGGAAA